GCTAGAGTTAAGTGACTGAGATTTTTCAAAGCCAATTAGGGATTTAGCCACAGAACTTCTTTTTAAAGTGAAGTATGCGTGTGATTCCCAAGCGATAGTTTGGCCAGGGCACGTGGATTAACACCACTGCTTTTTGTGAGTAGACCTACCACAATGATTATGCCCCAGTTCCTGTATAAATCCCTTTGATGGCTTCCTCTACCTGTACATTAAATTTAAGCAGAGAAGCATTGTATCCTTGCTTTTATGGTCCTTCACAGTTTGGTTCCTGTTCCTTTTTCCCTTTTTGTTCAGACCAAGCTGCCTGCCCTGTTGTGAAATCCATATGTGGCCTAACCCTCATGCAGATTTTGTGACCAGTGTTTCTTGATCTTCTCCTCTTTATGCAAAATTTGTTTCTGTTGTAAGACAACAGATCCATTCCTCCTCTTAGGAAATGAATTAAAGATGTGACCTTTTTGAGAAAAATCTTGTGTAACATCTAAGATAAATGTATCACTGATGGACAGAAATGTTATGGCCCTAGTAAACCTCATCCTTCCTTATCTATCTGTATGTCCCATATGCTCCCGTGTACTCTTGTATTTCTATATGTATGATGATTATCCCTTCTGGCCAAGGACTTCAACTTCCATTTTTTTTCCATGAAGTATCACACAGATGAATTGCAATCAGAATTTTAAGGACCCAGCCATGCTAAGTCTACAGTTTTGTATCATACCAGAAGCTTAATACTGCTGTATACTATATCATACAGTACTGAGAAAAAAATCCAATTACTGTAACACCATTACTAAAGAAAGTAGTATGTTGAAGAAATTAAAGGGTTATCTTCTAAATAAGTTCTAAATAAACTGATCTACCCCAGCCATGAATTCTTGTAGCACATGGCAGATTTTGAAAAAAATTACCAGAAATGTGTTATTAGTTGTTTAAGTTCCCCAAATACTGAGGAGAAACTTAATAACAGCAAGGTATCTCAAAAGGCTCTCACTTGTATTTCTTGTGGTACTATTTGCAGTTTTTCTGTCATATTGTACTCCATTACTATAAATGCTGCGGCTTCCCCAAATCCAAAAGAAATTAAATGAGGCAAATGCTAAAGAGGTAATATGTGATTAACAGATTAATAAATTATTGAAAAATGACCAAAAATGGTTTTAAGGGCAAGTGCATACACGTTACTTGGTGGGATGGGAAGTCAGTAAAAAAAATGAATATCAGAAGCATATCAAACTGAAACGAATGACTGATTAAAAGAAAGCTAATAACCAATGAAGAACTATCTATTTCTGAACAAACTAACTTTTCTGATTTTTTTCCTCTAAAGAAAAGGTTAATAAGGTTTAAAATAAACCATGTAAGTCTTAGTGTTGATTTTAAAATATGCACATGCAAAGTTCTATTATTTAATATTTTTTATTTTAAGGTATTCTACCAAAACGGGGTAGGCAGTGTGTTTTGGCTGGAGTGCTGAAAAACCAATGCCTACTTTGGAAGGTGCTGGAGTGCCGGCATGCCAGAA